CTTTTTTTCTTTTCGGTCAAAGTCTTCTTCAATCCATTCAGCTATGTGTTCTCCATCAACGCGTAGATGGGTCGCTTAAAAGGTCCAAAGCAAGGTTTGTAGCAAAATGTTTTCGACAAACACTTGGGAGTGATTACTTTAAAACTTTCAGCCCAGTTACATAGCCTTTACAATCAAAGCAAGGTTTGTAGCAAAATGTTTTCAACAAACACCTGGGAGTGATTACTTGAAAACTTTCAGCCCAGTTACATAGCCTTCTACAATCAGGATAATTGTCATTTGTTATTTTTTTATGGCTGGGATATTCAACAGATTGACATTGCTAATGCTTTTCTTAAAGAAGAATTGCAGGAAACGGTTTATATGTTTCAGCATGAAGGTTTCGCAGCAGATCACAGGTTCATTTTAGAGCTAGGATTGAGAAATTAAAACAAGACTAAATACAAACTCTACTTCAGATACAAGTTTTTTTTTTTTTTTTTTTATATTTGTTGGAAATTGATTTAGAAGATTGAAAATTTGGTTAAATGTTAAAACCACAAAACTTGAAAAAGTGACTCTCGAGTCAATTTTGTCTAAATATTCAAATTTGATTGGATGGTCAAATTACAAATATAAATAGACCAACTTGTTCTACTCTTCAAGTAGATCGTCATTGTATATTTAGAATCTCAAAACCAATTCCCGATGAATGAGAAATTGTAGTCCAAAGTTGGCAAAAAAATAGAGGAAATTGTCGCAAATTTGTCTAAGTGTGTTGCTAGCCTGACGCTGGACTGTCACTCGAGCGACAGGCTAGCAACAGAGTCTATTATTTTCACTCTAGTGGCGTGCTAGCGACGATGAATGGTAAGACATTTGGCAAGAGTAGCTGAGTTTGGGGCGCGACAGTTCATTCGCAATCCCTCATCCTCTATATATATATGACTCTTGAACGTGTATTTATCATTCCATATCATTCTTTACATATTATGTTGCATAAAACACTTCATAAAAAGTGATTTCTTTGCATAAAAGCATAAGTTCGATAAAGAGAGAATTCCGTTTGAGTTCGTTGGTTTAGGTCATTTAGAGTGCTCATATGGCTTTACGTGGTCATTGTATCATGGGAGATGGTTGCGAGAAATCCGTTAGCACCGATACGAGACAAATCTATTTTAAGGAAAAAGTGTTCAATGCTTACATTGGTCAATCGCATTACAAGCATCTCTTCTTTTCTTATCTTTCCATTTCTAATTTCATTTATTTTGATTTCAAACATTGACTAACCTTGTTTATATGTTTATATTGCAAGGTTCAATAACATGCTTTCATTCAAAAATAAAAAGTGACGAGTCCATATTCATGTATTTGGATTCCTTAAATCATTAAGTTGTTTTCTCAACTATTTTAATAAGTCGAATTATGTTTCGATTTCACGCATACAAACAGTATGTTTTTTGTGAATATAATATGCATATTATCGGTGTAATATTCCATTATTCCTAACAATATTTGCATATGTTAAAAACACTGCTCTAAGTTGGACATGGAAAAACGACTTTTCCATTTAACTGAAATTCAAATGGCTCAGGCAACTACAATAAAAAGTCAAAAGCAAAATTGCTTCTTTCTGATAGTTGGAAACTAGCGAGATCCCTACAGCAATGTCCAATGCAAAAGTACAACTCAATGCTATCTTCACACGAAACTGGTGACTGCTGCAGTTTATATAACTCTTCATCTAGTGCAATTTCCTCTTTATTAAAATTGGTTAGGCATATCTAGTGGGAGATCAGGGATGCTTTGACCTCTAATACTAGAAAATTAATTACCATAGAGAATTTATCATTGAACAAAGACGAGGGACAATTTCCGTACTTAAGGCAAAAGTTAGGGACCATTTGCATCAAATTCCCTCAATTTATTTAATGAGAAATTCAAACTAAGATAGAAATACAAAAAAGAAAAATTAAAATTACAAATAATTGTGAACTACATCATAGAATTTTATAATCTACATTTTACTGTCGGAAATTGTAATTTAACCTCATAAGCAAGATCCAATCTAATAATAATTATAGTCCGTCCTTCCAATTTCTCCCATTTTGCATCTTCTAATCATTTTCACATTTTTTTTTTTACCATGCATTAGTAGTGGGGTAAGGCGTTATTCAATGTGGGATCAGAAATTAAGGTAAAAGTTATTTTCTTAACATCCTTTTCTCTTTAACACGTGTCAAAATATTTTGTTCTTCACTCGATAATGTATTTTCATTTAAAATGGAGAAGCCACGGGCATTTGTGGAGATGAGCTAAGTAGAAAAAGAGAATTATTTGGTAAAAATGCAAACTAGGCTTTGGGGGAAGAGTGAGATTAAGGACTTGAGTAGGGCTAGAGCCGAACCGAGCCTAAATTTTTCGGGTATTTAGTAAGTGGAATCATTTGGTCATTTAATTATGGAACCGTTCGGGTTTGATTCGTTTCAGCCTGGTTCTCGGGGTCCATACAATAATTACATTTTTTAAATATTTACAATAACGCTATAGTAATTCAACTAATGATATGTTCAATCTTACATTTTACAAAATAATGTAGTCCAATCTTATGATTTGTGTCTCTCTTTTCTAAGTTCATATATTTTATTATTATAATTACAGGAAGAGGATAGCGATGTCACAATAATGAGAGGCGCAATCGAGCTTCCAATTCGATTTCTTAAGAGCAGTAGAATTGGCACTATGGTCGAATAACATGTTTGGGTAAAATTTAGACCAATTTAATTAAATTGAGTTTGGGCTGGAAATTAGAAATAGAAAAATCTTAATTTGGATTTAGGCTAAATTTTTTAGTAAGCAAATTATTTAGAGAAAAATAAATAATTTGACGTATTTAAGATTAAAAAAAATTATCGAGATTCGATTTTTATTCGATTATTCAGTTCTTGGTATAGAATCGAGAATTAAACCAAACTTGTCGATTCTCGATTTAGATATTCGTTTAGGTATTTAACTTAAGAAAAATGCTCGATTTGGTTAAGTTCGGATCGAGTCCGAGTTGATCTGATTCGATTTGGGAGTTTTATCTATCCACTCGAGAGAAGTTGGGAGAAAGAATAGAAAAAACTTGTGCGAACAGGGAAAAGTAAAAACACAAAAATAAAAATGTCTTAAAAAATAGAAATTTTTGTGGGGTCTACCGACCCCATGCTACCATTTAAATCTGCCCCTGCCATACATCTAAGCATTAAGAGTTCTGCTGCTGTGCCAGGTCGGTAAAAGACCTGGCACAGCCATGTGAGCTGGGGTGGGTGGGTGTTTTAACATTTTTGGGGGGTTTTTTTAATGAGTTAGGTCCTCGGGACCCACCTCATATGAGATAGTCTGTACAAAATCTGTGAACCAAAATCTGATAGAGTAGAATAATTCAAGCATTAATTAGGTGTACTAGAACATCTTTAACAATATTTCATCAAATATAAAAACACTTTTTTCATAAAAAATAATCCATCAAAAACTTGATCTAAACATTATCTTTCAACTAAATCCCAGTCTGATTTAGCCAAAAATCGAATTTTTAAGATATTTTAATAAAAGTTATAAAAAAAATTAATAAAAATCGTGAATTTCAGAAAATGGGTAATAGAAAGTAAGTTTGAAAAAAACAACAGCCTGAGAAATGTTAGAATTTGAGCTGCCAAGTCTTATAACACGTTCTGATATATTTAAAAAAAAAAAAATCACTACCACATGGAAAAATTACATGTGACCAAGAGAGAGAGCACAAATTTTCTAGTGCAACGATCGCTAGTTGCTACCAAGTTCTAATGAAAGTATTTATGAATTCACAAGCGCCGTCAACAGTAATCAGAACAAAGTCACACAGTCATCAAAGTATACTCAGATTTCGTACATTTTCTGACCAATAAACAGTACTCATCGTGCGGGAACATCTTAAGAATAACCTATTACTCAAAAAACCACCCTAAACAACGTAAGCAAAAGGCCTAGAACCAATTACAACTCGACAACGCATTCGACAAAACCACCTTGTTTTCTACGGTGGTTTCACATCCTGTTCCACATGCGTAGGTGCTTTATCAGACAGCAAGTTGGCCACTCAAAGGAAACAAAACAAGAAATGAAAATTTTACTGTACCTTAAAAACTTTCACCAAGAGAGAAATAACTTGTGCAGAAGAATGTGAGACTACTACAACATAGCTTGGTAGAAGATTGTGAGTCTGTAAGTACAGCAGGACTTGGAAGCTACAGGAAGTAGATCGGGAGATCTAGCAGGTTGGCTAGACAGTATCTACTGTAGCAGATCGGAAGGCTGGAATGAGCAGTAGATCTTGGAGTTACAGGGTTTACAGCAGTTAGTGGAACTAGTTTGGAGTTGAACTATAGTCCGCATTGTCTATAGTGGAAGTAACTGATTTGGTCCTAGAGTTTTTACCTAGTTGGGGTTTCTCCGTCATCATATTGGTGTTGATTTACTTCTTTCATTATTTATTGATTATTGATCATATAAACTTCAGTATTCAAAGATATGATATTAAAAAGCGTTTCTCAATTGGTATCAGATTTTAATTGGTAGAGAACTACGCGTATTGCATTTTGCAAATTAATTATAAGAAAATGAGTTATTTCCTGTGGTAGGGAATTGAGATTCAATCGAAAAAGTTAACCTATTAGATTATCCGCCAAATACTTATAAGCTCGTAATATACGCCATGTTTAGCCGATGTACGACTTTTTATTCGCACTTTCCCAACAGCTATACCAAAATACAATATCAATCCTAACTATGGTACTAAATAACTCTTAAATAAACATATATTATCTAGGACAATTAAACATCGAATCCTACCAAGCAAGCACGTCAAATCTAACCAAACAAAGATAAAATGCTATTCATCACACTCTATTTAAGGATCCATTTTTCTTGTATTATTTTCCTATTCATTACGCATTAAAACCAGAGAGGGAGAGGGAGAGGGACAGAGAGAGAGAGAGAGAATGGGAAGAGGAAAGGTACAACTGAAGAGGATAGAGAACAAGATAAACAGACAGGTAACTTTCTCAAAGAGGAGAGTTGGATTGCTAAAGAAGGCCCATGAGATCTCTGTACTGTGTGATGCAGAAGTGGCGTTGATTGTTTTTTCCTACAAGGGGAAGCTCTTTGAGTATGCCACTGATTCTTGGTATGTTTCTTTCTTTTCTTTATTTATATCTGATATTATCATTGTTCTTCTGGTAATGAAATCTGTTATTTTCTTTAGGGTTTCTGAGTTTCACTTCTCTTCATTAATTTTTATGTTATTTTCATTTCTTGATTTTCTTGATGTATTCATCTTTTTAAGTTTTCTATCTTCCAATAAATGTCCGTCGTTGTTTTGATTTGCAGTGTTTAATGAATTCTCTTAGATTTATCATTTTGATAACAAATCTAAAAGCAAATAATAACACTATTTAATAATCTGCAATCCATATATAAGAAAAAACAATGATATGTTAGTAACTATAATTCAAAAATATGCCAAACATGGATAATGAAAATAATTGTAGAATAAAAAGTGTTCTCCTGTTCGAATTAAATGAATTTAACGTGCCTTATTTCTTCATTCTTTTCATTTTCTCTTCCAGAGTTCCTGGTTAACTATGAATTTTGGCCATCTACATAAATTCCTTCTAATTAAAATATATATTTTCCTAGTTTGGTTGTCTTTGATGAATGGGGCTTCCTTAGAGGAATTCTTGAAATCTGGATATAAGAGTTTCAGTGCCTTTGTGACGAGAATAAATAAGATTGTAAGGAAAAATTTAGCGTTCTAAAAAGCGTAAAACGTGACAACAAGTAAAAAAAACATAAAAAAAGTATTTTTTTTATTTTAAATTTTTAAATCAATATATAAATCATTTAATAATTAAATGAAAAAAGCATAATAGAGCTTAAAAAAATGTAAAAAAAGGGGTTAAAAAGCGCGCCTAGGCACGGAAAAATTAATAGAAAATAAAAAGTGCGAAAAGCGCGAGACGAAACGTTTAGCGCCTATTTTGTGTCTAGACCTAGACACTGCTTTTTAGAACACTAGAAACAACATAAATCCCTCCTTGTGAATCATTCTCATATTGAGGAATACCAAAAGCAAAAGATTGAAATGTTAAATAATCTAAGGCCCTGTTTGATTGCACTTCAATTCCATAGAAGATGAAAATTATATTTCATTTTCCACATTTTTGCATGTTTGATTGTCCAAATTTTTCATGAAATTGGTTTTCCATCTTTCACCCATATGCTCAAATTTTCTTGGTTTTTGAGGTGGAAAAAGCTTTTTTAGGCAACTTTTCTTTTTATTTCTTTTTATTTTTTTGGCAATAGAAACAAATTCTATCCCTAATTGTAATAAATTATATCCCTTTAATGAACAATTTTCATAAACAACAAAGTCAAATGAACACCAAAAGATCCAAACTTTCAATATTTCCCATGTGAAAAATTATATCAGTCAAATATAATTAATTGACAATTTTCAGTAAAACAAATTTTAGACAATTTAATTCCCTGAAATTTATTTATTTTTTCATCCAAATTTTATTCTTGCAATCAAACGGACCTAAGTTGAAGAGAGAAATAAACTTGATGATGAGGTATTCTAGGAACTATAATATAAAGGTAAATGAAACAAAAGTACTGAAAGTAATAGGTGATGTAAATTACTAGCGAATCACCCTATTTATGAAGGTTCAAAAAGCTGCAAAAAGGAAATGATACGATAATTACGTAATTATTCAATTATGGAAATAATTGAATTGCAAAAGGTATCCACATATCTTTAATATATTTTTCAAACTCAGTTTTGTTGTAGAAACAAATTTGAGTTTGAAAAAGAAAATATACGAAAAAAAATTTGAGAAGCTATAGTGTAACCATTGGAATAATAAAAAAAAACTCTCGTACTAGTGTTGAAAGCCCAAATTTTACCAATTGAAAATTTGAACAACAGAATATATATACACTATTAACCAACTTTGGTATAGTTCAGTTTTACTCGAACATTAACTTTTAAACCATTTAGTATTTTTCCCAATTTGTACTAATAAATATTTTATTTGAATTATAATTTGATATTGTGTGTTACCTTTGTTGGAATTTGTAAATTAGATGCATGTTTGTCATGCTTGATGAACATTCTAATTAATGTACTTAGTTCTATGGTTATTTTATTTATGCACTCAGTTGTTTGAGTACAATTTATTTAGGTTCTTTGTATTTGCATTCTAAAGGTTGGATTCTTTCAAATCACAATCAATAAAAAGAAAGTTTGAGTGCAACAATTCCTCTCATTTTTTTACATTGTCTTTTATCAAGAACACACGTTTCTTAGTCTTTTAAGGTGTGTTTATCCCTTATAAAGTGGTATCAGAGCTGATTTGTTATAAATGAGTTGTGACATCAAACAACATGTTGCAGCCACACTTCCCTCTTTTGATGGGAAGGATTATAATCAATGGAACATTAAGATGAATATCCTATATGGATCTACAACCCTCACAACTAAACAATCAAATGAGTTGAAAGAAACTCGGAAGGAGGACAAGAATGATTTGTATTTCATCTATTAACTGATAGATCCTATTGAATTTGAGATGATTTCTAAATCAACTTCATCTAAGCAAGAATGGGTCATTTATAGGATAACACATAGATCTTTTCAAATATGCTCACACGGAACAACAGATTAACATCAAGTTAATCAAATACACGGTCAACACATATGCAAAGAATGCATAAATGACATCACGAAAAGATCTCACCACACTCATCATATCCCATTACGTGTTGCTCGCACCTCGAGAACACATATCTCACATTATCGCCCACTATGCTCACTGGACTATCACTCAAAAACATGTCTAACCGGTAAGCCTCTATAGATCTTAAGTTCTCGGGATAATCATCTATCACCACATCACTTCTCCCAACCTACATGGATAATGGGTCTCCACCTAATAGAAGTGATAGAAGTGCATCTCTCACATTCCACCTGATCAGGGTCTCTTCACAGATAAAAGATTTCAACATTTAATCACATCTCCACTCGTGATCCAAATGTCACATTCAACATCCCCGTGCATACCACCAATGCACCTCCAGGCATCTATACTCCATATTGCCAAAAGACACACACACACACACACACACAGCTAATGCATCTCAAATCCACTATGCATGCAAATAATTACACCAAGTAATAAGATCACTCTAATTTATGCCAATACACATATCAAACACATTGAAATGCAACATATAATCATGCAACCAAATTAAGTAATCACACACATGCAGAAAGGATTACACACGGATGCAAATGTAGTAACTAGGGTAACACTTAATAGGGNCGACCCTAAAACCAAATTCGTCTCGCCTCTCATCTTACCATTCTTCTTGAGACAATCTTTAATGAAGTGTCCAGACTTACCACAACTATAATACCGTCTACCACTAGGTTTGTCGCATCCCTTGCTCTTCTTCTTACCACCCTCATCACTCGAATCACTACTCGAATCACCATTGTCTTGAGCTCCACCCAAACTCATCTGCTTAAACTTCATTCTAATCTTCATCATATGCAACTCACCACTTCTCTTATCTTCTTTTTCAGCATTAATCTTCATCTCCTTACTCCTAAGGGAATCGCTGACGATCTTAAGGGTTAAGGTGTCCCTACCATACTTAATCACATTCTTAACCTCTCTATATGAATCAGGCATAGAATTAAGCAAAATGATAGCCTTATAGGTTTCAGACACATTTTCATCACAATTAATAATATCTTGAACCAACTTGTTAAAAACATCCAAATTGTCATCAAGATCCTTTAAAGGATCCATTTTAAAACTGAAAAATATTTCAAGTAAGTACAACTTATTTGGAATATACTTAAGCAAATATAAATCTTCTAACTTTTTCCAAAATTCTTTGGTAGAATCAAGTTTTCCTACTTTTCTCAAAACAATGTCGACATGTGTAAAATAATTGAAGTGTATGCAAGTTCATCATATTTTTCTTTTTGTGCTTCTGAAAAATTTTCAGGAAATTTGCCATCAACCTTTGAAACTTTTTGTTGAACCAAAATACTCTTCATCTTTTGTTGTCAAATTGAAAAATCTCATTTCCCATTGAATATTTCAATTTCGAAATGTGAAGACATTTTGAAAAAAGAACAACAAAAAATGCACAAATAGATCACACAAAATAATTCTAGGGCAACAAAATACACCGATCTAGATTCCTAAGATTTCGTGAGACTCAAAATCTCTCAAAATTCTCACGCAATTCATAGACTAATTAGCAGTTACAGCACAAAAATAATTACCAACTTGCAGTTAAAACCAACACTTCAAATAGAGCAATTAATTCCTAAATTTCTAGCACAAGCAATGGTTACCCCTTCACGGTAATCCCAATCCTTATGTTACCCCACAAGATGACGCGCTAATGTCGAAATTTAAACGGGATAAGCTAATTTACCAGAGCGGACCTATCTGAGTCTGTAAATTACAAGAGATTCGAATTTACTGCTTTAGGACTGCAATTTATGGCCTAAAGTAATTCACTAAATGTTTTGCAATTTCGACCGTCAAACCCACAAAGGGCAAAATCGTCCAGCTTTTTCTGCGTAACCTGAAACACTTAACTAAAAGTATCAGTACGTTCAGGAACTTAAACTTAACAACCTGCCTGAAGAAACCCTCGTCAGAAGAGCCCACACGCGCCACCCAAACGCCTCACCAGAGTGCCCGAGGTGATGACCATCTCCACCACGCGCACCACCTACATCAGTGCCTCCGCCTGCTGAGCTCAAAAATGGGTTCAGTTCTTCCGGGCAGTAGCTGGTTTAGCCGGAATCGAAGAAAGTAGGTTCGACCCTTTTTGAAAATCTCGAGGCAGGTTCTTCTTCTTCTTCTTCAATTTATGGGCTAGTTTTGGTCGATTGCTTGCCGGAATCTACACCAAACCTCGCTCTGATACCATATGTAGAATATTGGGGCTCTAATCACAATTTACTGGGCTCAGTTTCTCCAAAAACGACACCACAATCAATAACCAAAACCTCACAACTATCTTCCCAAACCGGTTGCTACTAAGGTGCCCACAAAGGGAAATGAGTGATGAATGGTATAGGCACAATGACCAGCC